TGGTGGGAGACCCAACTCCTGTCCCCCAATCAATCAATCTCTCTCTCTCCCCTAAAATATATCATCACTTCCCCACAATCTACAAAACTGTAATGCTGCTGAAAGAATAGTTGTGGGCTTGGATTAACTTGCATGTCAAGAATCATAATAAACTTTTTTGAATTTATCAAAAAGTGCAGCACTTTATGAGGCAAGACTTTTTGCTTTTTTTTGGAAATTAACAAAACATTTTGGTTTGTCAAAAAATAACAAAATCTTTTTAATTGAGAAAAATATTTGGATAATAACTTTTTTTAATTTATCAAAAAGTGCAGCATTTTATGAGGCATGACCTTTTCTTTTTTGGGAAGTTAACAAAAATTTTTAATTAAGAATAACATTTTGATAAAGTAATTAAGGAAAATGTTTGGGTAGAGCTGCAATTCTCTCAAAAGAAGTAAAGCCTCACTTCAAAACTCGCCAATTGCAGTTCTTGTGTCGGAAAACCATCAAATCAATCATCTCGGCTTTGAACATTATGGTTGTGAAAAAAATAGGATTTCAAACCCTAAGGTAGTATATAATGTAGCACATTATCTAAATCGCCCATTTCACCGCTAGAAAAAGTTTTTCCAGTAACATAAGATCTGTAGTATTTTTTTAGCTTCAAATTTCATAGTCGGCATAAGAAATTGATTTTAGAGCTATCATGAAGATTTTTTATGCCCAACGTACTTTCTAGAAGCGGATTCGCGTTGAGGCTTTACTTTGTTTCTATGAAGCTTAGGCCTCATAGAAACTGCAACCTTTTATTAATGGAAAATGGTTTGACCTATAAAAGTAACTAAAGCCTCACCTCACAATTCATCAAAAATTGCAATTTAAATATTGGAAAATATTTAAATCGATTACCTTGGCATGAATATTATGGCTGTGAAAAAAAATTAGGATTTCACATTCTAAAAGCAGTGAATACTGTAACAAATTATCTAGACCGTCTATTTCACTCTTAGAACAAGTATTCAAAGATCCACAAGATCTGTAACATTTTGAGTTTCAAATTTGAAAAATGGTTTCATGCGGGCTAGACTGCATTTCATGCGGGCTAGACTGCATTTCTTAAAGATGGATGCACAGTCCAAATGTCTTTTTAATATAATTATTATTTTTAATTTTCAAAAAAAAAAACTTTCACATTCATGATCTCCATGTTAAAGATTATATATTATCTAAAAATTAGGATAAAATTGCATTTAAAAAATATATTTATTGCCAAGACCGCATTTCTACAATATGCGGGTTGGCTGCATAGAAACCGTAATCCTTGTCGGTGTATTGAAAATTGATTTAGAGCCAATTCCGTTGGCAAACATGCTCTCCGGATAAAGAAATGAGGTGAGGGTTTATTTTGTTTTCATGATGCCTAGGCTTTATGGAAACTTCTTCCTTAATTCATTACGTGCGCAAATTATATTTCAGTACAAGTATCATTTGTACAAAATTGAGCCGTTGCACTCTTCACAAAAAGTCCACCGCGTCGTCAGCAAGAGCATCTGCTACCGCATCGGTCACCGTATAGAAGGATAGGGCTGGGAATGGGTTCGGATGGATCCAAGTCGACCCCGACCGGACTAGGTCTAAGGTGTAGATCAAGACTTGACCCAGACCAGGGGTTTTGGGTTAGGACGGGTCTGGTCTGGGTCTATAAATTAAAAAACAAAACATGTTTTATATATTTTATTTTATATAGTTGATATGAATTGCAGAATTCTATACTAATGTATGCCAGTTTAGGTCGGATTGGGCTGAACATGATCCGGACCGACCCTACCTGATAGGATCCAAGGTAGACCTTGACCCAGGCCCACCTAAGTCAGGTCAAGGTCAAATGGACCCATACCCACATCCAGCTAGAGGGCCTGAGTAGCACAAGAAAATGCAGCCCATACGGTCTAAACCTCGGCCTGGTGGGGGAGCCATTTGCCAGGCCTGCCCTTATTTGGGAGGCACAACGCTATTTATTTCAACTGAGCCTGAAATCTCCCGCACAAAAGGTGAAAACTCCTTCCTCACATTGCCCAGGATATAATGGCAGCTTTAAGCTTATCAGATAAAGAGTACGACTCGGTTTAGGTATATGGGTGTAGTTTCCATAAGGTCGCAACCTTAAACAATCCAATTAAGGTCCACCTCTAAATTTTATCACAACATATAATTTTGGTGTAAAAAATTCTTAAGATTATCTAAAAATCTGTTTCATATATAATTATAAAATTTTAAACTACAAAAATAGTTAAAATCAAGCAAATCTATAAACATATATAAATCTTGAAAATGGACGGTCTAAATAATGTGTTGCAATATCACTATTTATGGGATTAAAATCTTCTTTCTTTTTCATATTCTTACATCTCGATGTAGAGATGAACGATTGGAGGGTTTTTCAATATTAAGGAGCTTTTTTCAATGGATTTTTTAGGTGCATCCTTAATTCTACATTTTAAGATTGCAACTTTATATAA